TTATTTTCGCCGTATTCTTTGGTTATTTACTTTGAAATGCTGCATAAACATTATAGTAAATTACATTTATATTGGATATATCCTTAAAAATTTATGTTAAGCCACTAATAAAAGTTATTAAATAAATAATTAAAAAAATTATTGATGGAAAATATATTTATGTAGAAAAATAGATTGTATTTATTTCCCTGATTGTAGAATTGAAAAACGAAACGTCGACGACATTTAGGCAGTATTTTTTAAACTATTTAGTAAAAACATGATGCAAGAAATGCTTTTGTCTTTTAATTTCCAAGATTTTAATTTTCTAAATTTATTTTGATAATAGCACGTACTTTAAAATATAATAAAACTGAAATAGCATCCTTGAAGATTTTATAAATATATTTTTATTAAAAATAAATAAAAAAGGTGATGTAAATGTAACATTTACTTTAAATATGCCTTCACACATCCATCCATTTATTTTCTTAATGTGGCGTTTCCATTATACAATAACAATTTTCTATTATCAAACATTTAACTTTTACATTATTATATTATCACTATATCTCGTACATCAATGAATGGGTAGAAGTATGAAGGCGTGTTAAAATTATTTCTTTAAGTTAATACAGTTTTATAATAATTTGTTCAAAGAGGAGGATACGAACTATCGATAGTCACTAGGAATATCGATAGGGTTGTACATAGTTTTATAATATCGATATATCGATAGTACTATCGACCATCCCTTAGTCGATAGTACACTCGAAATTGTGCCTATGTTACGAATCCAACTCGTCCTCCTCCGCCCACCAAACTTCCTCATGAATGTCACTCGGTCGTGATCCACCCGTGGGAATGTACCCCGCGTCCGATGAGTTATTAGTTATCGGTACACACGTAGTCGTGCTCAAATCCCTTTTTTACCCCTAATACACTTTTGTTTTTCCCGAACCCCCACCACAACGGTTCTCACAAAAACCGATACAGCCCTCATCGCAGAGGAGAGAAACGTGACTTTTCTTACCAAATATCTATTCATCACCAGGCGAGATAATGGACACGCAGAGCCGGAAAAAAAAGAGGATAGGAACAATTCGGTAATGGTGGACGGTCGTGGGATGAGAGGTAATTGGTAATTAGTCAGTCCTCCACCGCTTGATATGAGCTCTCCTCTCCCGGGTCCCTGAGTTATGGCTTCGGCTTGAGGGGGGGGCTTGTGGGAATAATCCGACGATATTTCGGGAAAGGTGGGACTTGAGTGATTGTGAGGGGCCAAATCGCGAGGGTTCGCTATCAACCGTGAGTGGGATAATACCAGGACCCGGGATGTTAACTAATGGCTTCATTTCGTAGGACTAGATCTCGCAAATATATAATGATATAGCTATGGGAAATCTTAAAGGCATTGAAATATTTAATATGAGAAAATATCATGTTATAGAGAATCAGTAGGGTAATCTGTAATATTATCCTCTGGATATTATGGCAAAAATGTATATTGCACGTCAGCACGTAATCTATCCGGGTCTTGTTACCTGGTTGTTCTCATGGGTATAGGAGTAATCTTTTAATTTAATTTTTAAACATAGTTTAATATCATATTTAATAAATAAATTTGCTAGATGCGCAACTGCGCAGGTGCAAATTGCATAAAAAAAAAAAAAAAAAATGTATTTATTCTGTACAAAATTACTTCAAAAATAATAATTCTGAAATATCTGATAACCTCGAAAAACAAACTCAAATGTTAACTAGTGCCAATTTTAAAATAAATTTGAACATTGTAACACTAAATACCATTCAATAACTTATATTAAAGATTTAACTAGTAAAATTCAAAGGACTTTCAAAGGACAAGGTAAATAAAATTGAAAAAATTTATTTGAATACTAAAGATAATTTACCAAGTGATATGAAAAGTAACGTTATTTATAAAATAAATTGTGAAAATTGCACTAATAAATCATGCACAGGACAAACGGGACAATGGTTCGCAAAAAGAATAAAACAACATGAACAGAATTGTAAGCCCAAATCAAACACATCAACCGACCTTTCACAACACGCAACATACAATAAACACCAATTTGGTTTTTAAAAATGTTAAAATAATGTATAAGGAAAATAGTAGCAACAAAAGAAAAATTTGACACTAAAAATTTGAAGAATTCCGTTAACAATTATACAGATGTGGACATTATAAGTACCTTTTACGCAAATGTAATAAACAATATTCGCATATAATATAATAATTAATTTAAAAGCAATATTCAATTCATAAATTAGATTTAAAAAATACACCACAGCAAAACAATAGAAGAAAAATCCCTCTCCCTTTGAATATTCCCACCAGAACGATACAAGTCTATCAGAACTGATAGACTTATACTATAAAATATCAGGGCAGTTTAATTGTCTCTGAAAAATTAATACGACACTGACAAATTTAATGGAGGCCTCAATAAGGTAATAATCAATTGTATAAAATGAGTTAAGTTACGTAGATGAGAGGTTTTTAAAAAAATATACAAATCTAAATATAATTATTAATACATTTAGATTTAAATTGAATAATAAATATAATTTTTAATTTATCCTTAAGAGTGTTGTAATATATATAATGTAGTATAAAAAGAAATGAATTAGTAATACAATAAGGATAATCAGGGGTGCCCAGAAGGGAGTTTCATGGCGCCTTAAAAATTCTAGAGGGGGCCATATTTTGACAGATTTTTTAATTTTTGAGGAAGGCAAATTTCGACGGAGTTATGAATTTTCGGACAAAGGGACAAGAGGAAAACATAGAACAGCAAGTGTAATCTTATACGATCTACGATTTTTCTAATTCTACCTTAACTTACTTCGGTTTTAGAAAAAGGTGAATAATAAAATATCTTGGGCGGTGGGAGGGGGTAGGTTCTTGGAGTGGGAGGGGATAATAATGTTCGTTATATTGTGATAGACTCTATTTATATAGGGTTCTTCCCTTGAAACAAATAAAGATTAAATTATATATATATATATATATATATATATATATATATATATATATATATATATATATATATATATATAAAATGATATGGTCCGCAGAACTTAAACCGCTTTTTATAAATTTAATTTTGGTTTATACAATACAGTCAGACATAGTAATGAAGTTTATTTTAACTCAGCGAGCATCTAAATGCCCTCGGTATTAGCATGGCTACAGTCATCATCCTGTATTGTTTTTTTTAAATATTTTTTTTTTTAAATGACCTAGATAATTAAATTTGATTAAAAATTTTAAAAAATAACTGTTTAGCTCAATATCAATATCTTACCTTTTTAATCAATATTGTGATCAAATTATTTTACGATCAAAGTAGGAAGCAAATGGGTATTTACGAGTTTTTAGTACCTAATTAAATAGACAAAGTTTGGCCCTCTCCAGATTGAAAACGCCACAATTTGAAGAGTTTTCATAAATAAAATTGTTGTAGATTTCCATGAGATCTAATTATTTACGAAGTTTCAGGCGGATGTTAATAATTCGAAAAAAAGGGTCTGTACCGCGGACAATATAGTTTGTCTCAGTTTTTGACAAATTTAGTTAAAATCAGCGTTGGTTGACCGTAGTTTTATATCTTACCACGTAACAAAATTATAAAGTTACTCGTTCGACGCATAATTTAATGTTCGGTAATTTATTAAAGAATACATTTTTCGTTTTTATACATCTTTTAGGTTACGATGAGATGAAACTATTTACGAAATTTCAGGCGGATGTTAATAATTCGATAAAAAGGGGCCTTGTACCAAGGACTATAGGAGTAGAACACCAGAATTTTTTTTAATCCCTACTTTGAACATAAATGGGTTCAAATCAGGAACCTCGACGACGTCATTTCAACATTTCAAAATAAAGAGGATTTGCATGCCAGAAGGCTTTAAATTTTTTTAGACCGTCTTTTTTCTTGATTATGTGATGAAATTATTTTACAATTCAAGTGGATAACGAATTCATGAGTTCATAATACATCATTAAATTAATTATATAATTGAAAAAAAAATTTATTTATGAGAATTTCTCAGATAAAACTTTATAGTTACAATAAAATGAAGTCATTCACGTAATTTTATATGGATGTCAAAAATCAGAGACTATACCGCGTATTAATTTTTGTTGCATTAATTGCATTAAGCATATTAATTGAGTTTTAAATATGCCAAGTTGATATTTGAACATTTAATTAATTAATTTAATTTGAACATTGGTACGGTTTAGAAATGTAAGTCAATTGTAAATAAAATATTACAGTTAAAGAATATTAGTTTTTTTTTTCTATTTATATGGAGAACAGGATATCTTATAAGAAAATAAAATGCTAAAAATAGAGCAATATAATATCGACCTTCCTCCCTCCTTCCAGTAAAAGATTCCGTCTCTAGCTGAATTATAAATATATCTTAAGAGGATCGTCCGTTTATACCACTATCGTTCTCCACTCCATTATAATAAGAGTGTCCTTAACTATAGGCAAAATATATATACTTATGCATAATATAATTTATAAAAAATTACAAATAAAGCAACTCATTTTATTAAAAATAATAACTCGTTTAAATATATTTTTAAAATTAGCATGTTATCGAAATAATGACATTTTAAAAAAATTTAATTTAATATGTAAGAGAAGTTTCTGAATTTAGCACTAATAAATAAATTTAACAATTTATTTATTCTGAATTTAGGAACTACCTGGTGGATTCAAGATGAATTTTAAAACGCCTAGAAGGTTACAAAACAAATGAAAAATTTTTTTTTCTTTTTTTTTTTTTTTTACGCTATTTGTTTGATGATAACAACTATTTTGTTTAGTAGTTTACTAAAAAAATATTATTTATTTTTGGCGAAAGAGTCATCGACGTACCCCCAGAACACCCGCAGCCTATAACGAAGAAGTCATCAGGATGAAAATAAAAGAGAGTAAGAGTAAGGCTTTAATCGGCCAACCCAGCTCCATAATTCATCAACCGCAGGATTCAAGTATTCCCACGAGAACTCTTCTCCTGAGAGCCCTGCGACATCCAGCCGGCACGATGTGGGTCCTGTCGGGCCCAGAGCTGAGGGGGGTAATGGGGCTAATCGCCCCCCCGCATGGAGTCTACATTATCAAAGACAAATGAAGAGCTACTAATATACTACAGGCGTTTAAATCTTCAGCACTCTATTTACAGCGATAAAGAATAATATGTATCTGTTACATAAGAAAAAATAAAAAATGGATAAACTTTATCTAGCAACGGCATATTTTTTTTTTATCATTATATTGATACTTTTAAGTGTATCTTGAGAGAGGGAGGCAATCCAGGATCGCCGGTTCCCAAAGAGGCCAGGCCTACAAAATTTTTGATATATCTTAGAATTCACATTTTAATTAAGTATCCATAATATTATATATTATACAATAATCATGTAATATTTTTATATATAAGGTTCGATACTAACCGACTATTAATTATCAAAACCTATTTGATAGAAAAACATGGTTTCTTTCCAGGTATATGTACATATCTATCCCGGATACATCCATCAGGAATCATCTACAAGACTATGAATCCCCAAAAATAGACAAAAGACTACATGCAAGACCAAAAACAAGGTTATAGATCGAATCAATTGTAGAACTGTATGTAGATATCTGGAATAACATAATTGCTATTGCCGGGAACCAACCAGGGTCTGCGATATTGAAATACAGCAAAATCAGCTCAGCATCATGAAAATTAATTTTGAAAATTACGTAATTTACCAGCGACTTGTAGTACATACCAAGTCCTGTCATAAATTTAGTTACAAGGAAATATATACACATTTCAATAGAAAAGTTAATTTTTTCAAAACCTTTATTAGGAAATAAAATATATATCTATAGAGAGTAAAACAAAAACAAAATTACTCAAAATATCCCCCTTTTGCCATGACGCAGGCATTTAATCTCCGTGGCCAGTCATCAATAGCAGCACGCAGCACTTCTTGAGGAAAGCACTCAACTGCTCGGACCAGAGATTGTCTGAGACTTTCCAAGTTAGGGTGTGCTCTGTGGCATACCATTCTTTTCATTTCGGACAAAAGCCGATAATCTAGTGGGTTGAGATCAAGGACTCTTGAGAGCCAATCCGAGGCAGAGATGAACTCTGGAATGTTCTTTTGCTGTTTTAAATCCTTTTTCACAAAAATGGAGCTTTGTGGTGCCATCAGAGCAAACTCCCCACCAAAACATCACTGAGGAAGGGTGATGACCTCTTTCCATTCTTCCAATGACTTCCTGGGCTTCTTTAGATCTGTTTAGGAGGTACACATGATCATTTTGGATTAATTTTTTTTTCAATTGTAAACATTTTCACATCGCTAAACAAAATCTTTTGATGAAGACCATTGGTGTAACGGCCAAGGAGCACTTTGCATCTATCCACTCTAATTTTTTTTAGGGAAGTGGTTAGCCTTTGTCCTGTCATTCTTCGAAATGCACCAATCCTAAGATCACTTTTTATCATACGAGACATTGATCTGACAGAGATTCCCATTCCCATCCCAAAGTCCGGAGACGGCTCGGTCGAGGTCTGTCACATACAGATAGGGTCTTATTATATCTATTTATAGTGCGGTACACGAACATACGGCTGATGCACAAAGGTTTTCTATATCACCCCACTCCATGTTAACTGAGCGAAAAAAAAAAAAAAAATTGGGATTATTATCCTGACATGTAAAGAAAATGACCTGATAGAGGTAAGGATTATCTAAACAATACCCAAGGAAGCAAACAAAATTCAACTTATGTAACAGTATTTATGGCAGAACTAGGTACATATTAAAAAATACCAACAAATTACTTTCAATATACACATAACCCACATTTAAATTTAAAATAAAATTACAGGCAAGACTTATAATATTAACTTTGTATTTATCAAAAATATATATATATATTTCCATCTAACTTTTGTTTATAAATCATTTTTTACCATGATAAGTTAAAATACATAATAAACTAAAATAATTCAGCATGATACTTATTTAATTTTGTATAAAGAGCCCTCCATTTTGAAAATTGTTCACTTTAAGATGCTTTATACCGCTTGCTATAACACCGTTATTGGGTACTAACTTCAGAAACGCCCCTTTTACACAAAGTTATTTTGAACCCAGATGTACGAAACGACTTAACCATCGCCTAGACAAAATGCGAAAGGCCACTTTATAGATTAACGTCCCTATAAACATTTACGGGTCGGAGAAGGAGATCTTTAATCTATATAAGATTGGGTATTGAGGCTAAAAATACTCCAGTAATTCTACTCAAACGCTCAACGAAGTAAAGCAGATCCATCAAGTTATTAGATATTTTAAATTTATATAGAAAGCTAAATGTTACCTTGAGAAATATTGTTGAAATAATTCTCAATTTATTTATATTTTTTTCATTACCATGATCATAACATGATCATTTAATATTATTATTATATTATATCATAATATGATATTAATACTACCAGTGACTTTTATCATGACTGGGTACAATATTAAACAGTTTCAAATATTATTGTCTAGAAATATTTTCTCATTTTATTGAAAATTTAAGATCAAAACGCTGATTCGCTTTACTTAACCGAAAAACTAAAAAAAATTGCATGAAATTTATCGATCTCTAAATTCTACCACGAAAATTATATTTGGCTCCCCTTAGTTTTGGCATTAACAAAAATAGAATTATAATAAGGGTAATTCTGCTTGTCAGATATGAACACTAATTTTCAATCCTTGAAGGTCTTGGGATGTCAATTTCGGAATGAGTAATTATTATGAATGCGAATAGGCTCATTAACATATCTAATTTAATAGTAATTAGTTATCTATTATGATACTATCTCATTAATGATAAACAAAAAACTTGTGCCATATAATAGTTCAAAATTGTATAATCGATTAAAACAAAGAATTTTTTTTTCTCTCAAATAGATATTCAGCTTTCCCTGGATTTCTATAGCATCCAATATATATATATATATATATATATATATATATATATATATATATATATATATATATATACATTATTCAATATACATAGAAAAAATAGGGAGTATGTAACTTTAGACGGGCGTTGCAGGGGACTTAAAATGCAGACATGGAAGCTTACAGCTTACACTTCAGTGGCTTCACGAACTCAACACCCATTTACTAGAGTTAAAAGATTTTTATGCTACACAATGCCCATGGATATGAGTATTTTCAAAATATGACCAAATAGAAACAAAAGTATTGTTATATCTAGTTTTTTCTTTTTATACAAATTAAATAATTCAGTCCTAAATTTTGTTATCAAGCCAGATATTTTAATTTATTATTTCAAAAATTCTGAGTTTTTGTAATCGAGATAGTAACTTAACAAAGTAAATCTAGATAAATATTGATATTACCTTTACAGAGTAACATGAATCTGAATCAGGTGTTAGTACACAGATTTAATGTTCAAATATAACCCATCTCCCAATTTAGTTGTAATTTTTTCAGAATTTTTTATATTATTAAATTAAACTATTATATGAAATAAATATTTTTTATAATTTAAATAAATTTTAAGTTGATAGTCAACATTTCTTTTTATATTTTTTTTGTTTCCGTATATGGTAAATAAATCTATATTTAAGAGAGTTTTAGCCTCTAATATAATTTTTTTTATTTCTTAATGATATTTACAACTGTATTAAAGAAATACAGTATTTAGTAATTTTGAACATATGGATATAATGACGTGAAAACACTTCTTGAGAAACTACCCAATGGTAGCACTCTAATAATATGTCTACATTAGGTAATCTTATTTTCAGACGCCTCGGACAGTTATCAGGAATTGAAGAGGAAACAAGATTAGAAACGAAAGGGTTGGGATGATTCTGAAGTTTATTATGGAAGGATAGGTATCTGGATTGGGCCAGATCTGAAACATAAGAAACTTTATGGATGGTTTTATTTGTAACGAAGTAGTTAGCATTGAGGATTTTACGAAGGATTTTGGATTGTAAGGATAGGATACGAGAGGAATTCGATGGTTTAGTGTAGCCCCATAGATGAACTCCGTAAGTCCAAACAGGCCTTATTATAGTCATGTGTATAAGTATTTTGTAATTAATTAGAAGTTTAGAGCATTTGTCTAGTAAGTGTTGGGGTAATCGGAAACGTCGAGCGGTTTCTTGTCGTTTCATTATGGTATGAGGGTTCGAAGTTGGACGTTTGTCCAGGTGGAGTCCTAGGTAACGGATTTGTTCAACAGGGATAAGTGGAATCTAATATAAATTAAATATTAATAATATCATTATGCTGTTATCATGTAATTTTTAAAACACAGATATAAAAACTGACAACAATTTAGATAGGGATTATTATATGAAATGAGATATAAAAAAGGACAACTAATAATAATTACAAATAAAATATTTTAAATTAGATGTGGATATATATGTATAGTACAATTATGTTTATACAAGATGAATAACTGAATCATGTATAAGTTAAAATTAAAATTCAGTTTAATAACAGAACTGTATTTTTAAAGACTTAAAAATTGTTTTATTTAGCCAAAAGGCCGTGAAATATAAATGAAAATAACAATAAATATTGCTTACTATTGGTCTAAAATTAATCTAATGAATAAAAAAATATTAAATCACCGATTTAATTTAATTGACACCAAACAGACTGCAGGACTTTTAGGAGTTTATAAACATATCTTATACAAATTTAGACTATAATCTAATTTAAATTGAAAATGACGAGTAAACAGACTCGAATTTAATTACAGGGACTATTTAGTGAATGCAGAGGCAGTGAGAGAGAGGATTTCTAGAAGATTAATTTTTGGCAGTGTTGCCCAACATGGCAGCTCTACCGACCAATATTTCAAACTCCTTTGTGTTTTACGTCTGCTCTACGCCACAGTTTAACCTAATGTCGAGTATACAAAACTCATTACAGCTTCTAAATGTCAGCAAGTTATAATTCATTGGCCCAATAGCTCAGAGGTTTGGTTGCTACAAATATTTTAGAGAATAATTCCAAGTACAAAATTTTAATTTTATAAGTTTACCATCATTATCATTAAGAGAACGTACCTACAGTTCTTTATGGTTGCGAAACGTGGCCGTTTACATTAAAGGGTGAGCAACGTCTTAAGTATATATTGAATATTCGGACCGAAGAAGGGTGAATTAACCGGAGAATTCAAACGGTTACACAACGCCGAATTGCGTGAACTATATCCGGGTAATATAATTCAGGTGATTTCATCCCGGCGAATCAAATGGGCCTGTAAAATTGCTGGGCTTAGTAACGAGAGAATTCCTAAAAGGTTAATATTTGCTGTACCGAATGGGAAACGTCCGAGGGGTAGACCGAAGCGAAGGTGGGAAGATTGTATTAAAACCGATCGGAAGGGACAAGGTTTGGATGGCGAACGGTGGAGGGAGGTGTGTAATAAGTGATTGGTGGTGTCGACATCGAATCTTCGGGTTCGTTAAGCCTTTTATTCTTATTATCTCTCATATGAACTCTTTCAATTTTAGCTGTTATGATTCTGTCTAAGCTATTCGAACCATTAATTAATGATACAAATAAATTTACCATTTTCTAGTTTTGACATTTTTCCCCTAAATTATTAGCCTGTGATACAGCCACTTTTTATCAAATAATTACCATCTACCAGAAACTTCATGAATAGCTTCTCATCTCATCGTAACCTACAACTCTTTTATTAACGAAAACACTCGGAAATGGCACGTTTCGTCAAACTTCGTCTATTTAATTAGGTAATATGAACTCCTATATACCCATTTGCTTTCAACTTGAATCGTAAGATAATTTCAGCACAAAATCGAGAAAAAAGATGGCCTTAAAAAATATTGAGCCGTTTCGCTAACTACACACATCTAAAATGTCAAAATAACGAAGTTATATAGACCAAACGGCCCAATATTTTTGTAGGCCACCTTTTTTTTTTTTTCGATTTAGTGTTTCAATATCTTACGATTTAAGTGGCAAACAAATGAGTATTTACGAGTTTTTAGTACCTAATTAAATAGACAAAGTTTGACGATCTACAGATTGAAACCCCCCCCCCCCAACCCCAAGTGTTTTCGTAAATAAAATAGTTGTAGGTTACGATGAAATGAATCTATTCACGAAGTTTCAAGGTAAAT